AAAGCCTGGCATAACATCACGCCTAACCTACTTCACCCACAGTCAACAACGAACTGAGTGAGGCCGAAATATCGATCCGCCCGGAGTCGATAGAGTTGAAAGACCTGACGAGAACTGGTTCCGACCCTCAAACCCAGCATTACATTCACAGCCAGGGACGCAACTTTTAAAGATTGTTATTGATAGTATAATTTCATTAAAAAGCCTGTTTGGTATTTTTTGTCAATATTTTAACATTATAAATTAATTCAAACCAAATATATACAATTTATTGCCTTAATATTACTGAAAATATAAGCTTATGTATCCAACTTCTAACCTAGGAGACAGGGTTTTTCACTTAATATACCCATTTTGGAACTTTTCAAACACACTTTTCTTTACTACATAGTATTAAAATCGAGAAACATAAACATTTTTATTCAAAGGAAGGTATAATAAATTATTTTAAAACTATTTGGAGCAGGAATAAATAGCAGAAGAGGTATAAATAGCTGGGGACAGCAATTAATTGTCCTGTTTTCAAGTTTTTACCCTAATAAGGTTTTCATTATCTATTAACAGACCATATAAAATAGATTTAACATATTTACACATTAAAGACTAAAAATTAGAAAATAATTTATAAATAAAAATACTTTTTAAAAAGGACACGTTGTTAAACGCACTAAAGTATAAAATAATTTATAAATATGTTGAGAGATTAAATACTTGTAAGATTTAAAACTAAAAACGTGGGGCTTATGCAATAGATCATAATAGTTTTCAATAGGTGAAGTTAATTGTAAATTAGCATGCGACCCACGTTTTTCGTTTTAAATCCTACAAGTATTTATTCTCTCAAAATATTTATAAATTATTTTATACTTTTTAGTGCGTTTAAAAACGTTGCACTTTAAAAAAAGTATTTTTATTAATAAATTATTTTATATGAATTTGGTGGTCTAGGCCTATTTTTATATTTAAGTGAAACTTAAAACAATATTAAGAGTTATATCTGCAAAAACGATATCCTTTGGGTACTAATTGAAGATTGTTTCAAAATAAATGATTTAATATTTGGAATCTCCCACGACAGGTCTTAATCTTGGAACCTTTGGTATGCTAATGGGAAATTTGCATAGTTGGGAAAGTTAGTCAAAAATTCTAACTAGTTAGAAGTTATAAGTTAGTCCCGTAAAAAGTAACTGATAGAAGTTATAAGTTAGTTAGTTTAAAAAGTAACTGATAGAAGTTATTAGTTAGTTGAAAAACTAACTGATAGAATTAGAAAATAAAGTTAGTTTTAGTAGAAATTAAATTAGCTGCTCGTTGGGTAGTTGTTTTAAAGTACTTTTTAATGTCACATCTTGGTTACTAATATATACTATAATATGAGTAAAGATTGTGCACGATATGATTTTAAAAATGGCTCCTACGATTTCCTCCAATTTCAATGCTATTGAAAATTGCTTGTATAATACATTTGCATTGTATGATGTCTTACTAACCAAAGGGATAAATACGACTGTTCAAAAACATTAAGTGTTTTACTGCAAAACAATATACACTGACATTGTACTAAAAATCTAAAGGAAAGGCCAAGGAGATTTGTATTTTTCGACGATGCACCGCACGAATTGATGCGTTATTACACCATCCCGTAATTATAGTTGCAATGTTCCACAATCCTAGTGACTTGATGCAATAACGGTCGTCAGATAACAGATGTTATGTATCATGAGTTTTATATTGATTGAAGCTTATTGTGGACATTTTATAGATTGATCGTCCAGATTAAAACGTTTTGTAGACTAAATTGAGGATAAGTGGATGTCTAACAAAAACGAATTGACTTTACTACTTAATTAATCGTAGTAAGACTGAAAATATTTGTAGGCTTATAAGCTCTATTTTTTACCTCTTGAACAAATCAAACACCTCGAGCAAGATCGGTCCCCTGGTACTTGTGTTTTAATCAAACATTGTCACATTTTACATTACTACAACATAAACAAATGACATAAAACTTGTCAGATAATGAACATCAACTAAAGACAATGTTTTGACACTTGAGATGATATATCAATCACCAAACAAACATTTCCCCTTCCCACCCATCAGTGCTTGGGGTGTTGATAATGGCCGTCACTACCCTTCCACAGGCCCACTGCATTCCAAAGCAACTAGACTTTGACTTTCTCTTTCCCTACCCCCCGCGTTGTTTGTCTACAAGGGCACTGACCTCTCACTGCCACACGCAACCCTCACTGATCACGTGAAATAAATAACCCGTATTTGAGATGCTTCCGCATAGTTGGGAAAGTTAGTTGAAAATTCTAACTGGTTAGAAGTTATTAGTTAGTCCCGTAAAAAGTAACTGATAGAAGTTATTAGTTAGTTAATTTAAAAACGAACGAATAAAATAGAAGTTAGCCAAAAAAAACTAACTAATAGTGCTATTCGATAGAATTTCTATTAGTTATTCCCAAGTATGGAAATTTGAACACAAGTTAAGACATCATTTATGGAACTTGAATTGTTATTACACTGAATGTAGGCCTACCAATAGAATTTCGTAGGAAATATTTAGCCTTTAAGTATAGGTCAGCTTATTTTGATTCCTTAAGTTATATGTTGAGTTTGGGCACACCAACCAAAATCACACAATTGTGCACACAACAGTTCACCGTTGACCTTGCCACTAGCGTTGCGTTGTGACTGTGCACTGTTAACAACGATAACTCTTAGTTCGTTTAGCGACATTTGCGTTGTTGTCAACCGTTGTGAATGTCTATTTTGCTTTAGTTAAATCAAATTGCTTGTAGAAATTAAATTGGCTGTAGTTGCATGGTGCCATGCATGGCCTACTTGTAAAACCAAGAGATAATTGAGCGGAGCGAAGCGAAGCTCTATGGGATCGGCTTCAATTTGCAAACTTTCTAACACTAAATAAGGACTGAACATATTCTAGCAAAACTTACCAAAGTAAAGTGGTTTCGACAAATGTTTGGAAGGTTTAAGAGGGTGCTTTCCTGTTAGGGAGAACATTCGATTATTATCAATGATTTTTTTCGATATCTCAATATTAAGTATTTTGATATACCGGTCTGTCAATTCATTACCACTACTAACTTTTTTGCAATTCCGTTTATTCCCTACCAGAATTTTTTCATAATCAGCAAGTTTGGTTGGTTAGGTTAGTTTAGATTAGTTTCATTTTATAATTGATATATTCATAGACTATTTTTTAAGGTGCGGAAAACACTGAAATTTGCGGAAATATACGGACCGACTTTCTCAAGGCACGGAGCAAATCGCACGCCAAAGAACAAGAAGCAGAGTGATACGGACCGGTGACAGTGACTACTTACTCTTGCTTGGGCTCCTAAAATGGCCAGTGTTACCAGCTGATCATTAATTTATCTATATATATATATAAAGCCAAAAGTACCCATGAACTTTTGAGAAAACTACAAGTCACACCCCCATAAACCATATACTTAAAATGTCGTTATGACAAGAAACCTTGCGCAAAACTATCCATTATTTCATAAATTGTCCTTTAAGGTTTTAATTCCTTTCTAAAGGGAACTTTCCATATACCTAATGTTAACAATACCTCAGCTGTACTTATTTGTTTGTATTACTGTATCCTGTTTTGTTTATTTCAGCTTAACTTAACCAATCAATAATTTTATTAATAATACTTATGAAGTCAAACGGGGTGAAGCCGGTGGGTAACAGCTATAGTTATAATAATTTATGTTTTATGTTATAACAAGTTTTATTTTCAAAAATTGTATTTAATTGTGTTAAGAATTTATTAGTTTTCTTTATTTCATTCATATTTAAATTATTCCAAATAACTCAATCAAAATTCATTAACCAATGTTTATGTTTACAATTTATTATGATTCAAGTTTAAATTACAATTCAATTCAATATTACAAATTATCATATATTATTATATTATATCACATTGAATCTAAAAAGAATATTTCATATTATTAAAATTGGCAACACTGTAAATGCATGCAGTTTAACTACTCAAAATTAAATGTACAACAATAAGATATTAAAAACAAAACATGTGACTGTGATTAAGATCAACAGAGAAGACAGAATTACCTGAATGAAGATGCATGAAAAAAGTGTTGGTATGAAAAACTAAATTTAAGAAAATTATTATTAAAGTTTTATTCAACTTCAATGTAGTGTATTTCGTATAGTACACCTTGCTGTATATAACTATTGTCAATGTATGTATCATGATGGCAGTGTTTGAGTGAATAAACCGTTGCCGTGGTCCGATCATCACGCCACCCTCAACCGACCAATCACAACACAGCCTGACCACGCTCCTATTTTCCCGGCTTTTCCTCTCAGTCTTCCAGCAGCTCCTGTTATGTGACCATCTCCGTGTTAGTCCCGCCCGTATTGGCCGCGGCAATTTATTACTGTAAAATGTGTATTTATTGACTCCATCTACATTCTTAAACCACGGACATTCCATTCAAGAAGATAAAGTTTATTTAAGAAGATTTATTTTACCAAGAACAGTAAGTTATTCTTTCAATGTAAATCAAACAAAATTCTCCTATACAAAATACAGTCCACTTACTCAAAAATTTAAACAATTTTACCAATCTATTTGATCCATTATCATTCTAACAATTATCAAAATTTCATGACAAATTGTTTATTAACACATTTAATTGTATGTAGATTGTAGGTACCGTTGTAGATTGTAGGTAGATAGTTAAAATTGATATAACTGTGAGTAAATTTAAAATGAACATGATTAAGCAAAAAAATTTTGATAGCATTGAAGCCTATTCATAGGTAACAATAAGAAAGATAACAAGTTTTTTAGGTAACCTCAGTCAAACATTAACTTCACCGCGAAACGGTTGAATTCAGCTGCCTCTGTGTTTTACACAACCATTAGTTGGATGCCCACAACTGAACCGGAGAAACTAGGTTATGAAATGAAATAAATTTCTTTATTAATACACAAATTTATTTATTTCATTTGTTGAAGAGCTTTTATTTGTGTGACTCTTTCTCTTTTTTTAGAACAATATTGTAATCATGAATAATTAGTTACAAACAATGTATTTACAATGATAGTACTGTAAGTTTTTTGGGGAACATTGAGAGGAGATAGAAAAAGCTGAGTGAAATACTAACCATACAAAGCAAAACAAATTGCAATATAAGGTTCATAACAGGTCAGACAAGAGTCTTGTACCATCAAAGAGGGTAGTTAAGAGTTAAAGTTAATTTTGTTATAGCTTTAAACTGCATTATTAATTAAATTGAGGGTTCTCATACATTTTTACAATGTGAGAGAGCAACAGGCACGTTATGTGAAAGATTTTAATGTTTAGAAGAATTCCAGATTTATAGTGGAAAAGTAATTTAAACTTGGTAGTAAGACTCCTGTTTAACCGAGCAGTCACAACATTTTTTTTACAGATATATTGCTGCACGTTCTATAACTATTCATTTCCCCATAACCTTTCTTTAATTATAGCTTGAAATAAATTTCAATCCAATGACAGATGAAGTAAAATATATTTCAAACTAATAAAGCATTTGTTATCAGTAAGCAAATACAGCAATTTACTTTTCAAATATACCTATCTATATAAATATATATATATAACATACAATAATTAACACATAATATATAATCAATAAATTATTTTTAAATCTACAATAAATCTTTTAAACATTGTACAATGAAATATAAAATAAATAAATTTAATTTCAAATAAAGCTTTATACAAGTAAAACTTCTGTCATTGTATTGTCTTATTTCCAAACAGTTATCAAGAATGTAAAAAATAATTAAGGGTGAATTTTACTTTTAACACAGTTAAAAGGTTACGTTAAAGCTTTAAATAATAGCATTTCTCTGTAACACAAAAAATAAATAAAACTTAATCTGAATAAACTTAGATAGTAGGAATAAAACGTAAGAACCTAAAAATACAGTGAAGGGCAGAGATGGGGTGAGGGTGGTGGCAGTGAATGCCTCGCAATACAATACAACTAATAATAAGTATCCCGAGGGACTTATGGTTCACAAACAATTTGTACTTTTTAATGCTTTAAAATGATTGAGATCTGGTACCCACAAGTACCACTGCCCTTTGATATCCCACGGCAAATGTAGAATCTAGCATCAATCCGATAGTTACAACTAAAACTAACTTCAACAAATTTTATTAAAAAATCAAAATTAAATTGTCTGGCTTATAAAAAACCGATTGTGATGTCGGTAAGAATACTACACAAAATATGTAAGGCTACAACTATCTTAATCTTCAATCATTGGAATGGATAAATTATGGTTAACACAAACATTTTCACACATGCACGTGAAGAGAGTTGTTGAAATTGAGTTGTTTTACTTAAGTTGTGACACATTTCTGCTCAATAAATTTAACTTCAGAAAACCAATTGAATATAACGTAATTATTTTTACGACAGTCAAAATGAAAACAAGGATGTTATAAAAAAATACTTCAATACACATTTTTGTGGCCCATAGTAAAAATTCCAGGCAAACCATATGCATAAATTAGTGAAGTAAAAAATTAACTTCAATAGAGCTATTTTTAAGACAAATGAATTGTCTTGGTAGATTGTACTTCCATTCTTAAACTCTTCTCTCGCTCAAAACATACAAATAAATTAATTGTAAATATATAATATATATATATATTGATATTCCATAAATTTTTTTAATACTTGTGGTTTTAGTTTCTTTACAATAACTCCTTTCTAAAATGGTTGGCCTCAGCTGAGATTTTTTCTCCTGTGGCAAATATCAGACTTTTAAATCATTGCCCCACAACTAAACATACAAACATTTGGAGTGAAAGACATCGACAAGCTACAATATTATGTCAGTAAAGATCTTAACTGTATCTCCTCTCTCAGCCTGAAGTCAGACTCATACCATGGTATACACAACGACTAGAAATAAAAAATCAATTGTTAGGTGATAAACACACAGAGTCCAAGAACCAGCAACCAAAAGATTAGACTATTTATTTAAATTTGATATTAATAAATTTATACAATATTCATTTGATCAAAAAAGAGCTTGTGCCTAGTGAGCTTATGAAAATATGTATGAATTATTGAATGATTAATTTGTATCCGGAACAAATTAAATCTTGATACTTGACATTTTTTACTATTAGAAAAAACCCATTTTTTGTCATACTGCAGTAAAAACAGCAGTTTTTAATTCTAAATCTGAGCTATGTAAATTTGTAATAAAAGTAACTAAAATAATTGTGCAATATGACAAAAATATAGTTCATCGCACAAGCTAAATGTCTTTTCAACCCTAGCGCATGTTCTGATATCGGTTTCGCCTCGATCGTAAAACTTGAGCTCAGGTCGAAAAGCCCTAGTGATGAAATACTAAGGGTCCCAAGTAAGTATAGTTAAAAGAGTGTTAATTACAATTAGCAAATCAAAACTCGTTGAGACTGGACCTGACATTGCTTGGAAGATCTTGTGCTGGAAATGCAGTGAAATTGAATAAAAAAAAAACTAATTTGACAAAACTAAATATCTAATCTAATAAATGGGAGTCCACTCAGTCTGCAGAATTTCTGTGGTGGGTGTATATTTTAAATAGGTACAGTATCCTTTATTCTCCAACAGGTGGTTTGGATTAGCCGGACATTCGGATCAACGGAACACTAGTGTACCTCAGTTATAAAATTAATAAAATTAGCAATTTTAGTCAATTTTTTTAACCGTTACTGGATTATTGGTTATATAAGAAACTATTCAAATCAGTGTTGTAGTGGGGCGGAAACGGCATCCCACTATGTTTTTCCAATAATCCTATATGTTAGTCAGTTATCAGACGATGGTGAGCGTTTTCAAACTGAAAAATGTACGAATACACTAATGATTAAAATGCTATTCTGATGGGATGGTTTGTTGACTATTTAACAATAATTGTTAAGGTTTTTAAGTGATACGACTCAAGTCTTTGTGATTGACTATTAAAGTATCATCATTTCCATCATATGTGTGTACCAGTCATCTGTAGTGAGCAAATTATGTCACTTTTATGGTTGCTGGCTCTGGTCTATGCAAGGGCACTAATAACATTTAATAGAATGGTTTTCAGTAAGGGACATAATTAATTGGAAAGGCAACTCTTTCATTAGCTGTTGTACATGTGTACTGTGCATGTTCTTTATGCCCCTTACCCCATTTTAGGTGGCATGAATAGAACCAGGTAGTCACTGGCTATAGGTGTTACAGTGTACAGTAGAACCTCTATAACAAGACTCTCTTGGGGATTATGAAACTAGACTTGTTATCAAGGTTGACTTCTTATTGAGTTTTTTTCAATAACATGTCATTAGGGGTAAAATAAGTTCAAGGGGATTTGAAATAGAAAATAGTTGTTGTAGAGGGCCTTATTATCGAGGTTCTGCTGTAAAAAAGTACCTAGAAAACTAGCTGTGAAATTCAAACAATGGTTTAGAACAATCCCTCATGTAAACATTTAAATATGTACTTTATACATATTAAAAAAATACAAACAGAAAAACTACTTCTTTTAAAAGTAGTTTACGCAAAGATCGCGTAAGGATAGCCTAGTCTTATTGACACCAGTAGAAAATTTAAGGTACAAGCCTTGGCGAGTGCCTTTATAACTTCTACGGGTGTTGTTAAGACTCATTGTTTTATCAATTAAATTGGTCTTAACAGTTGATAAGTTAACTATCAAAGTATTACAATATTACTTCTTTTCTTTCAATATTTGAACCTCATTGGTCTGTTACTCGTTCTAAAGTAAAAACAACAATGTTGTTAAATGAATCTTTTCAATTCCAAGAACTGAACTGAAATAGCTAGTTTAAAAAACGGTCTTAGGTAAAAATATTTACGCCATTCAGAAAATTGATCATTCAGAAAAGTAGCAGTGAGTATATACTTTTTGCCGGAAAACCTTATTTACAAATTATTGTCTTGTGCCATAAAATGTATTTGTTGCTTAAACACATGTAATGCTGGTGAGTCAATTGTGAAAAATTATATTATATTACCAAAGTAGACAACTGAACTGACCAAATTCAGCAATTTTATTTACTTCAAACTAAGCTATTAATATTTCACTAAAAAACACTGTGCTACCTCATCTGTAGTGCCAAACCTAATGTTAAACATTCATCTGACATGTTACGTGAAATATTTTAATAAAAATCGAATAAGACAAATGAAAATTTTATAGACTGCAGGTATGTAGGTTCAGGGGGGCCAAAAATATACATTCACCCAAAACTCAAATTCGAAAATGTTGACAAAAACAGTACTTTCCATATAGGGGGAAAAAGTACCAAGATAAATCTGAAACCAATACCATATAAGAGATGAAACCAACTTAATGTTCATCCCTAGCTTGTTGTGTTTTCTGGCATCTTTACAATGGAAAACAACAATTCTGGCATCTTTACAATGGAAAACAAAAATCAATTGTTATTTTGTCATGCTTATACTCTAACAAGTCTAGGTTCAGTCCCAATTACTAGCTAACGAAAAACGTAAAAATATAGGTTTATTATTTAATTGCTACCCACTCCAAGGGTTACAATATCACTTTCTCAATTGTGGTAAAACTTATATAGGCAAATAACTTTTACTTGTAAGAATTTCAAAATAATTGAGATCTAAAATGCATCACCTGCATGATTTAAAAATCACACAGTGCGTGCTTATATGCCTAAAAGGTTCAGACTGAGAGAGAGAGAGATAGAGAGAGAAAAAGACATAAAATAATAAAGTATGTATACACAGAATTAAAAATAAGTGTGTGAAAGGTTGTGGAGGGACTGACTAGAGCAGGGTACTTGGTGGGTTCTACTGCCTCCAGTCCAAGGGTTTGACCAGATCTCCTGACTTGTAGCTTGTTGCGCCTATCTCACACATCTATAACATAACATTAGAAATAAGTGTGTGAAAGATTGTGGAAGGACTGACTAGAGCAGGGTACTTAGTGGGTTCTACTGGCTCCAGTCCAAGGGTTTGACCAGATCTCCTGACTTGTAGCTTGTTGCGCCTATCTCACACATCTATAACATAACATTAGAAATAAGTGTGTGAAAGATTGTGGAAGGACTGACTAGAGCAGGGTACTTAGTGGGTTCTACTGCCTCCAGTCCAAGGGTTTGACCAGATCTCCTGACTTGTAGCTTGTTGCGCCTATCTCACACATCTATAACATAACATTAGAAATAAGTGTGTGAAAGATTGTGGAAGGACTGACTAGAGCAGGGTACTTAGTGGGTTCTACTGGCTCCAGTCCAAGGGTTTGACCAGATCTCCTGACTTGTAGCTTGTTGCGCCTATCTCACACATCTATAACATAACATTAGAAATAAGTGTGGGAAAGATTGTGGAAGGACTGACTAGAGCAGGGTACTTGGTGGGTTCTACTGCCTCCAGTCCAAGGGTTTGACCAGATATCCTGACTTGTAGCTTGTTGCGCCTATCTCACACATCTATAACATAACATTAGAAATAAGTGTGTGAAAGATTGTGGAAGGAATGACTAGAGCAGGGTGCTTGGTGGGTTCTACTTCCTCCAATCCAAGGGTTTGTCCAGATCTCCTGACTTGTAGCTTGTTGCGCCTATCCCACACATCTATAACATAACATTAGAAATAAGTGTTTGAAAGATTGTGGAAGGACTGACTAGAGCAGGGTACTTGGTGGGTTCTACTGCCTCCAGTCCAAGGGTTTGACCAGATCTCCTGACTTGTAGCTTGTTGCGCCTATCTCACACATCTATAACATAACATTAGAAATAAGTGTGGGAAAGATTGTGGAAGGACTGACTGGAGCAGGGTGCTTGGTGGGTTCTACTGCCTCCAGTCCAAGGGTTTGACCAGATCTCCTGACTTGTAGCTTGTTGCACCTATCTCACATATCATATCTATAACATAATAAGTGTGTGAAAGGTTGTAGGAGGACTGACTAGAGCAGGGTAAAAAGGTGGGCCAGACAGAGCGGACTGCGCGCGATGACTTCACTGCAATCCCGGCCGCGGTCGCCTCGCCGCTAGATACATGCTAAACGCACAAACCTTACTTTTTCTTTCTACTCTTCTTAATTTTTTTTTTTCGTACGTTATAACACAAATATCTTTGTCTACTAAATAATGATTTTTATGATTTTGAATCTATAAAATTATTACGCGAACACGAAGTTTGTCGGTCGAACTCCTCTGTCATTTCTTAACCGATTTTATCCATTGGAAAGAGCGTGTCGTGTAGATTTGCAAACTGGCCTTTCATTTTTGAAAAAGTCCCTTGGGCTCTGCCCCAGTGGCTTTTAAAGTTCCCATGTTATCCTTATGAAGAACATAATTGTTTACATTTTTATCAGTTGTATAATTTAATTGCTGTTATTTATTTTTCAATTCAACAAAACGCATTGGGAACAATTTACTGATTTTGTTGGAATTAAATATTTACTATTTTAATTTACATTCGTACATACTACAATGTAAAAAATTGAGAAGGCCTGGGCAATTTGATATATTCAAACAATAATAATTATTAATAATGATAATTCTTGAGCAATCATTGAAAGAACCGATTTGTTAACCATGAAAACATAGAAAAGTAATAGAACGCCACGAAGTAGAAGAAATAGAGATAAAAAAAAATACTATGTTATCATCCTATATAGGGGAGACCGGGGTAATACCGTGCAGCGGGGCAATACCGTTCACCTTATTTTCTTGTCCCCTGGTGGTTGGAGCGAGTACTATGAAGTGCTGCTCCTAGCGGTGACGATTTGAAACAGATTGAGCCGTTCGCGACGCTTCTACCACTACTCACGTTAATGTGACGAAAGATTTTTGTGTTTTGGCTGATTTTCTTCTTATTTGAGATACTTACTGGAACTGAGGTAAGTAATGCATACTATTAGTGACTATTTTTAAACATGTAGTTTTGAATAGACCATATTATTGGCTATTTTTTAGTACCAAACTCAAGTCCTTACGAGTTCTTATTAGAGGTTAGGTTTTTAAAATGCTGTGTCATGTCGTTTTGGGGCAATGCCGTGCACTTAGTATGGGGCAATACCGCACAAGGCACGAGGTGTACGGTATTGCCCCATGTTTTACAATATTGACCTATGTTATAAAAAGATTATTTATTGGCATCCTAAGCAGTCAAGTATTGATATTTAAGGTGTATATATGAAGTTCTTTTGAATTAATGATATTCCAGCCATGCCAAGTATTGCCTTATCACATAATTTAATTTAAATATAGTTTGAAATACAACTTTATTGTTTTTTTTTACAGATGGTGCGAAAAAGAAAGAGGACAACCGAAATGTACTGTAGAAATGCTACAGTATGTGTTTACTTATTTGTGTAGTTAAATAAAACGTTAAACTAAATGTTCTATATTTTTTCTGCTGCCTCACTAGTAATGTTAATCATGACGGGGCAATACCGCACAGGGCGGTATTGCCCCTAACTTGCGTGCGGTATTGCCCCGGCACTCGGGGCAATACCGCACATTGTAAGGGTTTAGTAAAGTTAGATTAACACTCAAAGTTAATTTGATATTCCAATTTTGAACCAAGGAAATTGTAACAAATTACCATTCCTTTAAAATGTGATAATCGTCAATTTCATAGAAGCTTTAGAGTTAAATATATAAAACAATAATGCTTAAGTGTACGGTATTACCCCGCCCTCCCCTAACGAAGAACACCTACAATATGAAGATTCCCAAAAACAATGAACAAGGATGTTAGCCGAAGTGCTACTATTTTGTAGGAAACACGGACTTAACTTTATGATGATTAGCAAAGGAAACCCCTCTAAGGACGAATTAAACTAGTACGGCAAGGACATTAAATATATCACGGTGTCCACCAGGCCAACCAGAAAAAATTCATGAGTAATTCATGAGTAAAAAAAAAATCCAGGTAGTTCAGGTCGTACTTTTCATACTAAAATTTCCAACGTGTTTTGCGCCAACTCCCGCAGTGCTGTTTTAGCGCTATAACACAGCTCACTATTTTAGTTATCGAAAAAGAGCATTCTCAGTTAAGGGGGGAAAAAATATGATTGCTGTAATATTGCCTGACACAAGTATTAAATTTTTATATATTACTGATTAAATAATCCAAAAAATAAGAACTAATCCTTAAACCTGCAATTTATTAATAACTTCCTAAAAATAGTGATATGTCGATACCAAAATTTATCGAATCTCTGTACAGACACCTGAAAAATAGATTCTTAATACAGATAATTTCTATTTTACCAAATTTTCTTAAGGATTATTACACCAACCCCTGGCTTCATGTACTTTCATATTGTATAATTTTGGAGTAATGGGTTGTTTTCTAAGTGGCCTAGAGAAATAATAATACAGAAATTAAAAATTTATCATAATTTTCCTCGATCGTAGCTTAATTCAAATAATTTCCCGCAGTCATCATTTCAAGCAATATTTTTGGACATCATCGTCGTCTCCCGCGGTCACGGAGATATCATAGTTGTCTCCCGTGGTCACGGAAACGCCATCGACGTCTCCTGCGGTCACGGAAACGCCATCGACGTCTCCCGCGGTCACGGAAATGTCATTGTCGTCTTTTGCGGTCACGGAAACGTCGACATCGTCTCCCGCGGTCACAGAAACGTCATCGTCGTCTCCCGCGGTCACGGAAACGTCATCGTCCGCATGCGGGATCGCGGCAAAATCACTAACATATCCCCCGGCAGTTGGACATCATCATCGTTTCACGCGGTCACGGAAACGTCATCGTCTGCATGCACGATCACGGAAACGTCATTGTCATCTCCCGAAGTCACGAAAATGTCATCGTCGTCACACACGGTCACGAAAACGTCATCGCCGTCACACACGGTCACGAAAATGTCATCGTCGTCACACGCGGTCACGAAAACGTCATCGCCGTCACACACGGTCACGAAAATGTCATCGTCGTCACACGCGGTCACGAAAACGTCATCGTCGTCACACACGGTCACGAAAACGTCATCGCCGTCACACACGGTCACGAAAACGTCATCGCCGTCACACGCGGTCACAAAAACGTCATCGTCGTCTCCGGCGGTCACGAAAACGTCATCGTCGTCTCCCACGGTCACGGAAATATCATCGTCGTCTTCCGCGATTATGGATACGTCATCGTCGTCTCCCACGGTCACGGAAAAGTCATCGTCATCACACACGGTCACGAAAACGTCATCGTCGTCTCCGGCGGTCACGAAAAGTCGTCGTCGTCTCCCGCGGTCTCGGCAAAAAATTCCCGCTTAAATACAAAATTCATGCATAATTCCCGGTTTTCCCGGTCGGTGGACACCCTGTATATATTTTCATAAAAGTCAAGTGATTTTAAAATAATATTACTACATCCAAGAAACCTTAATAAAACTTTCATTGAAGGATTCACATTATTCACATTATTATTCACATTCAAGGGAAACAAAAAACCATCTGAACAACATTAGGCCTTTCAATTCTGCATTTTTTCAGTTAAATATAACTTACGTTATAACAGTAACCAGCCAAATTAATGCCAATTGAAGCAAATCAAATTGTGACAGAGAGGTTATGCAGAAAATCAGACAGTTCTTAAGTGATGTAAAAAAAAATTTATCGCTAAAAAAATGACTGAAATTTGTAAACGTACTGGCGACAATGGGTAGTACCATGCTGAATACAATATCATTGACGAAGATCAACATGGACAACCTAATGCGGCTGTAAGTGGGAAACATTTGTAGAATACACTAAAAACCAGATCAGCTTTTGAAAAATGATAAAATATTTACAAGAAATGTTATTATTTTTATATGGAACTGTTAGGCACATAATGTATGAGTTAAGTCTTTTAAACTCATCGGAAATTATGACTTTTATACTGTATATATATGGAATTAATATTCTTTCTTTAAAAGTTATATATATATACTAGCTGTAACCCGCGGGCTTTGCCCCGTTTAACTTCTTAATTTTCAAGATGATCTCGTTTGCATGGCTCAATCACGTCCTGGTTGAAGTTCGTTCGCTACGCTCACTCACCTTTAGGTTGGAGCTCGTTCGCTGCGCTCACTTGCCTTCAGGTTAGCTCGTTCGCTACGCTCACTTGCCTTCAGGTTAGCTCGTTCACTACGCTAACTCGCCTCCAGGTTGAAGTTCGTTTGCTATGCTCACTCACCTTTTGGTTGCAAATTAGCTGTTGTCATAAATGTAAAAGAAATAATAGTGCTGCAGCCTGTTGGTAATCCTTGTAACTTTAATGCTATTGAACATCATAGAACAGAACCAACTTGTTTAATTGAAACAGCTGTTAAGATTCATTAATTCCATTTCTCATAAGGTTAACATGGGAAACTCCAGAGCCACTGGGGCGGAGCCGATTGGACGGATCACGAAATTGATGGTGTATAAACCTATTCCATGAAATTCTACACGTATGTACCAAGTTTCGTGGCAATCGGTTCAGCGGTGTCTGAGTTTATCACTGCCAAATATATATATATACAAACATCCTCTTTTATACTTATATATATATATATATATTCGGTACTTTCCTGTTAAATGGAACATTCATTATTATCGATGATTTCTTTTTGATATATCGATATTTTTGTTTTCTATTCGATATATTGATAGTAACAAATTGAAACATATCAGCTGACAACTACGATAAGGATACAGTAAATAAAGATATTGTTCAGTATCAACAAACAATTAAAAAAAATTATATTGAAATGAAACTGTTCTA